CTAATGAACAGTCATCCCCATTCTAGTATTTCAGTGGATTTTCATCTAAAATTTGAATGCAGCCAAACCAAAGGAGTTTTGCCCAGGAAAAAAAAGGCTTAAGGACATGTTTTCCTGTTTGCCCCCAACAACATGACCCTAGGGCATGCAGCAACCTGCGGGACATCTCTCCTTTCCCACAACCTTCTCTGCCTGCTCCAAGGATCCAGCAGTCAGACACAGACACTCCTCTCGATCCTTCCTCTACTATGTCCCTTGGTCCTTATTAGTAAAAGCCAAGGTAAATGACAATTAAGATATCGATAGGTAAGGTCTGCTAGAATGGGCACTGCTCAGGGTCCCCAGATGTCAGTCCATGGGGGAGAGAGGCTGCAGCAGGTTTAGACTCTCACCTACAGCTGCAACACAGCCCACGGTCCCCTGGCTGTGCCTCATCCTCATCTACTGGCTGGAGTTTTCATGCAGCTAATGGTAACTCCATTTCTTCAGAAACCCCACTTTTCAGCAAACACACCACCCTTCTCACCTTCACAAATGCATAAAACTCATGGAAGAAAAACACCAGAAGCTTCCAGACATCCTCAGTAAGCTCAGCCAGGTTCCTGGCAAAGACCTCCCTCCATTTGGGCAGCGCTGTGCCAGCAGCGGTCCCACTCTCTCTCTCGCTGTCTTCCCCACTCCCAGGGCAGCACAGGGCAACATCACAGGTCAGGATGTCACATAGCCTGAGTCAGAGCCACTTCCAAAGCCACCCCCAGCACGATTTTATGCAAGCACATCTTGCTCAGACTCATCTCTGGAGCCCTTCTCAGCCTCAGTCTCCCTGTGTCTTACTCCACAAAGCACAAGCTCTGAGGAAAACCACAAGCAGTGGCAGGGGGTCGGGGGCGGTCAGGACTTGTACACAAACCATCTGCAATCACCTACCAGCTGGAGATTTGCTACCAAGGTAAAGAGCAGGGACAAGCTGCATCTTGCTGGATTCCTGCGAACTGATGGGAGCTGTCAGTGCATGCTCTACCTCCTTGTTCCCCATTACCCATCTCCACATCAAGCAGTGCTGGCCAACAGCCATTAAACTTGGTCCCAAAAATGGGATTTCTCACCTGGTGTTATGCCCATGTTATTGGTGACTAATTGGCACAAAGAGCCTGTCAGGTCCAAAGTCAACCCAGGAGAGCAGAAAACAGCAGCAAAGCAGATCAAAGACTGATCTAGGTAAGGAGCTGGGCTTAAATGCAGCTGGGGAACAAATGGAGTGGTGGTGGGGGGGAATGGGAGGAGGCCCCAGATGAGGCTGGTCAGGTTAATTAAGGCCTGTTAATGAAGGCAGGACTCTGCTGCCCTTTGCAGGAGGAGGATGTGAGGGGGTGATGCTACAGGGGGTTTTTTTTGGGCAATTCTTGATAAACCAGCACTTCCCCCATCCTTGGCACAGTCCCATTTTCTCAGCACCAGCAGAACTGGTCTATAGGATTTTGTCAGGCTTTTTCAGATCCTGTCCCTGCCCCAGTCTCAGGCCAGGAATCTGTTTTCAGGTGCTCTGAGAACTTGGTTTCTGCCAAATCTTTCTGAGTTCACGGGAAAGATCAGAGCAGGAGTTTAATTCAGGACTGAGCCTGGGGCAGGAGTAGCTCCCTGCCCCAAACTGCCCTGCAGTCTCACAATGGAAACATTACTTAGTTTCCCTTGCTTTTTTTTAAAAAAAAAAAAGGAACAAATGAAAAAATGCACACACCAAAACCAAATAACCCCTTCCTCTGGGAGATTCAATCTCTTGGACAATTTGCTAATCTGGATGTCTGGAACAAATTCAACTAGTCTTTCTCAGAAGCGATTTGCATGCTCTGAGGTATTTGCACTTTGGTTTCCAGCCACGTAGTCTACCCCAAAACTGCTGCTGAGGGTCCTGAGCTCAGGACTGGCTGACAGAGCTGTAACAAGTGGGTAAGCACTTGTGCTGAGCAGGGGAGTTGCAGCCACCTCTGCTGTGCCCCAGCCACAGCCTGTCCCTGAAGGGCTTCAAGTGACTGCTGGCAAGTGACATCCCCCCTGCAGACACAAGCTGGTAGCGTTGAGCCAGGCTGCACCACTTGGGCCAGCGCTTCAATCAGAGCTAGATCTGGATTCTCTGCTGTCAACTTACTGGGTGACCTTGGAAAGGTCAGCTGGGATATAATACAGCAAACCAAGATCTCAGGATGAAAAAGTACTTTAAAAGTCACTTACAAAGGTATTTACCGAGAGAAGTGCTTCGCTTTCCTACCCCTAAGAGACACTGAATGACGCCAAAAAACAGTTTACCACCCTGCACAGTTTACAGTAAACATCTTACCTCTGTGCATGCAGCTTATTTTACGCATTCATAAAACACATGTCCAGCACATGCTGGGGTTGAGCTTGGGCAGCAAGAGAATGCTGCTGCAAGCCACGCAGCAGGATGCAGAGACCTACTATGTCATGAACTTTCCTCCCCAAACCACATGCATCGTCTGGTCTCTAAACGTTCCTCCAAGCCTCATCACTGGGAGCAGCAGTTCTGCCTCCTGCCCCTCAGCCACATTCCTGACTTCCCCACAGGACCCTGCTGGGTCTCCCTCTGGAGCAGCTGCAGGGGAGAAGTGGGCTGTTGCCGCTCCTGTGGAGGTGCCCACCAGCTACAAGCTCTTCCTGAGGACAATATATAGATATCATCATCATTTGCAAGCTAAATATAAACCTCTTCCTAGGAGGTGAGCTACACAGGCCCTTGTGTTTCTCAGCATAAAGCCAACAACCCTCATCACAGCCAAGGGAAACTGGGGCACAGAAGAAGCAGGAAGAATCACTGCGTGAGCACTCCTGGTCTGCTGCCACAAACAGCAACTACGAGGGCTGCTCAGTCTCAGAAGGGAAATCTGAGAAGGCCTGAATACTGGTGTTTTGGGGGTCACTGGAAGAAGACAAAGAAACAGCAACACTGTGCCCTCCCTTGCGCCAGCCAGAGCACCCATCCATCCTCAGGCATTGCATGCGCTGACAGAGGGAAGCACCTTTGCACCAGTTCATCTGCTCCCAAGAAAAGCACGCTGTTTGCAGTAGGCACCCAGGTGTGGCTATAGCTGTGAACTTCAATCCCATGCCCAACACTACCAGCACAGGAGGATCAGGTGCATGTGAAAACCTGCCTGTGTTTCACAGAAGTCCCTGGTCTCTTACGTTCCCTGCTCGACACCAGGAGCAGGGTGCCTAAGAACATCAAGCTCGTAGAGGCATAAAAATCACACACCAGCCCTTCACATTCACACGATCCATCCTAACTGGTTACTCTGGGAAGGGTTAACCGAAGGTTTAGCAGTACTGCTCTTGTTTGGTGTGGCACAGCCGGCCAAGCCAGCGCTGGAACAAACTTGTTCCTTTACCTTGATGGAGGCAGAAAGCAGCAAAGAGGCCACGTGGCACTTGGCAGCACATCTCCAGGGTCCTTGCAGCGACTGTGCAGTTCGGGCTGGCCAGGGAAAGGTGGACGAAAGCCATGGGGTCTGCAGTCCCACCAGAGCAGGCACACAGGGAGATGTGAGAGGAGCCAGAAATCTTCTGCTGGGCAAACTTAAGAGTTGGACATGGCAGCTGGGAACAGAGAGGAGCCGTGCTTCTGCCTTTTTTTGCAGGTTTGCTGTTGCCAGGGAGAGGTTTTAGGCTGTCATCCAGCTAATTCACACCCGAGAGACAAGCACTTGAATTAGCTGCATTATCTGCACCCAGCTAAAGTGGACAATGGATTAAAGTGTGCTGAGCACCACCGCTGTGATTTGCATCTCAGAGCCCCTTCCCACGGGCCCCCTCCACTCTTAGCCGCCTTTTTTTTTTTTTTTTTTCCCCTGGCTGTGAGCCAGCCAGCATAAGAACCCTGTTTACAGAAGTGATGCCTAGGTTAATATTGCAAAAGACTTCATGAAAGCTTTTAGCTGCTACTGAAGCAGAAGTATCTAACCGTGGGCCATGAGCTGACCGGGCTGCGCACACAGGGGATGAGCCGCCCGCACTGCGCACGCAGCCACACGCCCGCTACCCTTCGTTTGATCAAATCTAGTCTCAGCATGAGGTATGAAACTAACTTTCTTCCACTACGGCATATTTGAAATAATAAGCAAAATCAAACTAGTATTCATTTTTAAATCTGCACACAAACCTCAAATGTAGCTACCGCTTTAGGGAAAAAACACTATTTGAGTGCTAAATAAATATTGCCCTGTGCAGTGACCTTATGGGCACTTTTTTGAGGTCATCCAGCTCCCAAGGATTTTTTTTTTTTTAATGCATGTTTATTCATGTGCAGATGATGGGGAATGCTATTGCTATAGGTTTTGTGCCGCCAGTCTCAAAACTGCGATCTCTCAGAAGATCTAGGTCTAAACAGAGGTAAAGCAAAAGCCTATCAGACATCACTGGATCCTGACTAATTGATAGCTTTAAACTTTTTTTTCCATAGTAGCACTTTGTAGGTGGGTGCAGTTTTCCTGAAAGGCTCACACTGAGCTCTGCTGTGAGATGCAAGCATTATAATGTTTTTATTTTTCTTGGCGTTTGCAGAGATTTTCCTTCTCGGTGCGAGGACTGAGTGACCTTAGCAATTGCCAGCAAGGGGACTCCATATGATGAAAGCAGGTGAAAGGGAAAATAAGGGCGGAACTAGGTAAGGCCATTTCATACCTCTGAGGAGGTGTGGTCCTGCTCTGTACCTGGCTGTGGCCAGAGTCTTGTGAAATATAAAAGGGGAGGGCAGTTGTTTCTCAAGCAATCTATTGCCATAATCCTGTAGTGAGAAGGAAGGGAGGTGCTAGAAGAAATGCAGAGCAAGAAGTCTAGAGTGTCAGCCGCAAAAGGTGTGGGACGCGCTGGTGCCTCTGAGCCTCAGGAATACCATCAGCTCATCTCTGTAGGTCCATCTGCTGGGCTGAGGGTTGCATGGTAGCTGCTCTCTCTTCCCTGGCAGCCCGGCCAAGGAGGAAGAAGCCATCATGTCCCAAAGAGGAGCAGCAGCATGCAAAGCTGCCAGACCCCAGGACCAGGGATGGGCATGGATGGTCCTGCTTGCTGCGGCGCTGCTGCAGGCGCTGACGCTGGGCTTCACCTCCTGCATTGGTGTCTTCTTCACGGACCTGCAGCATGACTTCCAGGCCAGCAACAGTGAGACATCATGGTTCCCATCCATCATGGTGGCTGTGCTGCATGGAGGAGGTAAGTAATGGCCACAGGGAATGCCCTCCACCACCTCCTGCAGTTGTGTTGCTGATGAGGAGACCTAACGAGCTCTTTTAATAATTCATTAAGGCAGACAATAGAAGGGACTGGGAGATCTGAGCAGACTGGCTGGTTGGCAGTGCACAGCATCTCCCAGCTACTTTGATCCATGCCCACATAGTCCAAATCTAAGTGTTCAGAGACACCAGGCTTCCCACTGTAAGAGACAATCAGGGCCCTTAGGCGAAGGAGGTGAATATCATTCTCAGCCCAGCTTCTCCAGAACAGTAAGAACTTGATTATTTCCCACAGCAGCTCTTTGAATAAGCTGGCAGGTAGTGCAGGAGCATGGGTTCTTCCTTTGATCGTCTTCTGTCCACAAGAGCACATCTTCTGTGTGCCGCATGACAGCTATGTTCTTTGTGGCTGAAAAGATGCTAAAAGCCAAGCTCCTCCAGGCAGCTAGCTGAGGCAGAGTGTTAAAAGTAAATCCTTGGGCGGTGGCATAGAATGCACAGCCAAGCATCAGGGTGGATGTGAGCAGAGCTGGATTAATGCAGAATGTGGGTCAGGCAGCACCCTCCAGGTGAAGGCAGATGGAAGGAGGGTTGTGCTTTGCAGCTAGTGGAGTGAATCACTGTTTTTCCCTGCAAAGAAAATGTGGAAGCTCCACAGGACAGGGTCCCAGATCCCCCCTCCAGACAGACATTTCTGCACAGAACAGAAAACCAAATCAGCAGCAGCTCAAGGAACTCCCAGTGAGCAGTCCACATTGCTGCTGACCCCTCCACGTGCAACTTCTGTGCTTATTTGATAAATATGCTGCCCAAACCTCACCTTGGCAAAATCAGCAAAATATCCAGTGATGCCCACATATCTGAGCTGTTCCTGAGTTCATACCTGCCCCTTTCCCATACTGGTGAAAGGTGACACTACAGTACAAAGGAAAAAAAACAAAGGGCAGAGCCCTGAGTCATGCTGATGTGAAGGCTGTGGCAGGTTCAGTCTTCCCTGTGCAGGACTTGGCTGACAGCCACCTGACATGGGAGAAAGGGTTTGCACCTTAGCAGAAGCAGTTGGATTCAGAATCAGAAGGTGCAGGTGGAAAGAGACCTCAGGGGAAGCAACTGCAGGAGGCATTGTCACTAAAGGTCAGCAGACACAGAGCAGCATCCCTGGGGCTTTGAATTTGGAAACTTCTGGACACTCCTTGTGCTGCCTTCCAGGCCCTGTGGTCCTGCTACAGTTAGAGGGAAGGAGCCTCTGGCTCTGGGAAAAGGTCTCAGAAGCAGCTCAGTCCCAACATGTCCAGGAAGGACAAATCCATCAGTATCCACAAGAAAGCACCAACTATCATATCTTCTTTAATGAAGTAATTGTTTTGTAGGAGGCTGGAACCACAGCCAATAAATAGAACCAAAAGTTGTAAATTAAACAAGGAAAGAACAGCTTCATGCTAATTATTCTCACTAAGAGAATTTGTCAGGGCAGAGCCAGTGAATTACAAGAGAGTCGTTATTTTACTTGCCAGTTATGTCTCCTATTGCAGGCTGTTTCAGCAGAGGAGTGCTTGTGCTTGTGCCCCTGTAGCATAATGCAGGAGTAACACAACCATAAACAAGAAAGAAAAACCAACCAACCAACCAACTAAAACCGAGAGAAAACAGATAAAAGACTCCCTCTCAGGTTACGCACGTGCAGCTTTCGCTGCAACTTCTGACCTCTTTGCAGTGGGCCAGGCTCTGTCTGGTTTAGGTTCTCTGCTTACATCCATCACCTTGGCACTTAAATCTTTTCCAAAATTGCATTCTGCTGTGTCACCAGTGTCTCTTAAAGGTGCTTCTCTCATTTCTTCTCCTTTATTCTTTTTTCATTCAAAGGAATTGAGGGAAAAGAAAAAATTTGGTAAACAGGAAGGGGAATGTACAGAGCAGACCATCCCCACTGGTCAGTGCAGAAAGGTCCCTGACAGGAGAGGTAACCTCAGCTCAGCAGAGCTGTGGAAGGAAACAGGGAAGGGCACAGTGCAAACAATAGCTCATAGCTCAATAAGCCAAACGTATCTCCTTACCCAAGCTATGTTCTAGATAAAAGCGATTAATGATTATTTTCTTATAAGAATCGTTTGAGAGACATCAGAATCCTGCAGCTGTTGGGAACTCGGAGGAGTTCAGGTCCTCATAGGTTCCGGCTCCTAGATATTCATGCACACAAAAGCAGCGCTCTTGTTGGTGTTAGTTTTGCAAAGGAAAACACAAAAGCCCCAGGTGAGGGAAAAGTAATGTCTGAAACATAGAAAGCAAATTAACAGGAACAAGTAATGAAAAAAACTGTATGATTTTTCCAGCCAATCTCAGTACTCTGGAGTGTTCGATTTATGGCTTCTGGCTACTTTGGTTGGGCAGAAAGCCGTTCTGTCCT